TCTGGCCTCCTTTAGTTCTGTGGGGACCTTGATGTTAGTGTTCTCTCTGGTGGACTGACACTCTGTGTGTGTGTGCCTGTCTTCTCAGACTGTGAGATGCTCTGGTGTCTTAGTCACTTTTTAAATGTAACTATTATTTAAAGTTGTGTAATTATAGGATTATTATTTTACATTAAAAAATTGCTGGAGGGCACATATGTAATTCTCCTCCATTCTCCTCTCAGGATCTTGGGCATACATGCACATGAGTCCGGTGTGTGTTTAAGCTGCCGGGTCCAGGATGTGAACTGTGGTCAACTCTGTGGGAGTCCAGCAATGTAACCATCATGCCATCCGCTGGCCCCTGGTCAAATTTTAAAAAATAATAATAAATAAAATTAGGTACAATTATTCTTTAAAGAATAAATAAAGAAATAAAATCAATTTCAGAACCATTTTAGCATGAGGGAGAATCCCCATATACTCTAGAATTGGTTCCTCTCTGGTTAGCATCTTACACTAACATGGTACAGTTTTTACAGTTAATGAACCAATATTGATACATGGTTATTAATTAGCATCCATTCCTTATTCAGGTTTTTCTGTGTGTGAGTGCCTTACACTTGTCTCGCCCTGTTGCCCACACTGGCTGTGAGTTCATCATCTTCCTGCCTCAGCCTCCTGAGTAGCCCGGACTGCAGGCATGAGCCACTGCATGTGGCTTTTACTGTGGGCTGGGACTTGAACTTGGGCCTCCCAGCTGGCCTTAGCCTGTAGAGTAGGCCATGCTCAATGTGTGCTACTGTGGTACCTAATGTCCTTTTTCTGTTTAGGATCCCATTTGGGTCACCACATGATAGTGAGCTGTCATATCTTCTTAGGCCATGACAGTGCTCAGACTTCCCTTGTTTTTGATGACCATGACAGCTTTGAGGAGTACAAGCCAGGTATTTTGTAGAGTCTTCCTTAATTCTTTGATCTTTTTGTCATGATTAGACAGGAGTTACAGGGCTTGGGTAAGAAGGCCACAGAGGTGAGGTTTCATTTTCATCACATGTCATCAAGGGCTTATGGTGCCCACATGACATACTGCTGTGGCTCAGCCACCTGGCCAAGATGGCGTTTGTCAGATTTTTAACACTGTACAGGTCTTCTTTTTCCTTCCTTTCGATACTGTACTTTTCAGAAGGAACTTATCATGTACAGCCCACACGTAGGGAATTATGCTGCTTCTTTCTAAAGGCAGAGGATATACTAATGATTTAGAATTCTCTACTCTCCCATTCACTTATCTTTTCAATCAGTTGTTTTATCGCTATGGGCTCATGGATATTATTTTATACTTTGAGTTCCAATTCCATGATACTTTTTGCTGTTTCTCAAATGGCTCTACCTTTGGACATTAGGGTGGCTCCTGTGCCCTTATCACACCTCTGTCATTGCAAGTATCTGTTTCTTACTGTCTGCCATCACAGGATGCTCCAGACTCCTCTTGTTGATTTCCTGCAAAGTTCTAGAATCCTTTACGCCAGGAGTCCTGGTTCCTTTTAGTGGAGAATGTATAGAGACCAAGATCTGGGTATCAGGAGTGCTCCTCTTAATCCTAAGTACTTCTGTTTTATATCTTACATGGTGCCTGGCACATGATAGGTTCTTATTAAATCTTGTTAAATGGTTTTGTGCTTGCAGGTGAGGGACTCGATTAGTCGTGTACCTGTTGTACACCTGGCAGTGAAATTAGGGACTCCATCCCAAGGTGAGCCACGTGATCTTGATTTGAGTTTGAGGAGGTAACAAAATATTTGATTCTAAATACCCTGAGGGGGCCAGCAGGTGGAGTGGTAGTTAAGGCACTGGACTCCTACATGGCCGGCAATGGTTTGAGTCCTGAACCTGGTGGCTTGCTTTCTTACTCCCTCTCCCCCACCCTGTCTCTATGGTCAAATTAAAAAAAAATAGTAAATGAAATTAAATAACTAATTATTTTTTAAAAAAATACTCAGAAACAGGAACTAAAGATGGGAAGAAAAGAGAGAGGAAGAAATGGAGGGAGAGAGGGAGACCAGGAAGGAGTAAGAGACAAACAGATGCACTATGGCTTTGGAGGAAAAGATAATGGAGTTGCTGATTTAACTGGTGATGCAGAGAGCAAGAGGGGGATAAAACTCTTAAAAACCAGAATACAATCTGCTCATCTTGCTGTTCCTTTTAAGATTGTTTTTATTAGGAAAAACTGCATGAAGTAAGTTAGAGAGGTTGGTCGGCTTGCATTTTCAGAGAGGAAACCAGGATTGTCTGCATCCCAGCCAGTGTTGACCCAGACAACCCAGAAATGAGTCTCTGGGTCTGGAGCGCCCAGCTGAAGCTTGAGGAGGGCTTGGTAGTCCTTTCCTTACCAGGGCTTGAAGTTTCATTACTCAAGTTGTTGTGACTGGCGGACGGGCTGGAACAGTCACATGTGGTATTCCCATCACTGCTGAGAGACTTGACCTCTGCCTTCAGCAAAAGGGGCAGAAGAAAGGCATCGAAGTAAGGGAAGGAACATTTGCAAAGTCTGTTGGAATCATATGAGTCCCTTTTCCAGACAGCGCTCGTCGTTTTTCTTTTTATGTTCATGAAAATTTGCCTAAGAACAAATAAAATCGTCATGTGTGTTTCATAACATACAACATAGAGCTGGTTATGTATCCTAATTATTTTATGAGCTATCATATTTTTGACAGTGAAACTTGTTTTAATTCTAGAACAATGGGATATTAGATGATTACCTTGGGACTTATTAATTAAATACATGGGCATTTGAGCACCATTTGTTATATGGGGGCATACACCTTTTGGTACCCTCCACATTTATATTCAAGGGGCTAAATCATGGAGCAAGGTTTGCCTCATTAGCCTTTCTTAAAGCTTAGTGTTCTTCTTGCCCAAAGATTTAATCACTTCACGCGCTAAACAGCTCATGCGTATCTGTAAAATCAGAGTCCCTGAACTTGTTTTTAATACTCCAGCCCTGTCTGAAAAGGAGTTTGCACTTGGGATAGGAAGCAGGAAGGCTATCTTGCTGTGAGAGAGGCCAAGCTTGCAGAAGTGGGTTCTGGTGAAGGAATGTGGACGCATTGCAGACATCCTGCACGGAGGCCAGTTCCTGCAATGATGTGGTCAGACGTGGTCGAGCCCAGCTGTTCGCTCCATTGAGAGAGGCTTTAGCTCACCCGCACAATCTCCGACTGCTGGGTCTGAACCAGATCCAAATACCGAGTCCGCCGAGGCTCACCCATCCGCCAGGGTGACCAGAGTTCCTCTCTTACCAGACACAATATTCGTGGTAACTGGTAAGAGAAGGTACAGAGAAAGACCCAGCCCTCTTACACAGTATAACATTTAGAGTGGCGAATGGGAATATAAACACATTCCCTAGTTCCCCCGTGTTCTGTTAGAATACAGGTAAAAACAATTCATGCTTTACCTTTGGCCTCCTAGTGGACATATTGTGATTTATGTTATTCATGTCACCATGAAAGCAATGGGGTGAAATATTATTTGCCTTAAAATAGGGGTGAATGGGGTGAAGACAATTGAGAGTTGGGATCTCTGTATTCAAATCCCCATTTCTTACTTCCAAGTGATGGGACTTTGGATAGTTTAATTGTCTTAGACCATAGTTTCCTTAGAGTTAAGACGATGATGTAACAGAACTCACCTCCATGGGTTGCTATGAGGATGAAATAAAGTAACTTGCCTGAGATAGACAGAGATCAAGAGAAGCAAAGTGAGAAATCTCCCCCTGGAGAGGAGGCCATCCCACAGTTCTTTCCCTTCCATTCTCCTCTTGGGATTTTTGACATGCCTGATCATGTGCCTGGTGTGATTTTCAAGCTGCTGGGTCTAGGACTTGAACTGTGGTTGGCCATGTGGCAGTTCAGAGCCTTAACCTCTGTGCCACCTGCTGGCCCTATTAATACATCTTTAGCAGTTGACAGAAAGATCTTTTCCCTTTGTATTTTCATTCTCTTGAATTTGTGGAATGTGATTGCTACTTACAGGGACCTTTAATTCTTATATCTTTGAGGGGGAGATGAGTGGGTGGGGATGGCAGAGGAAGTGAGAGAGTTACAAACGCGACACTTTCATTTACACAAAGAAGAAATTTCATTGAAGATTTACCTTCCTTTAAAATACTTTTGGTACTAAAACCTTAGAATAAAATCTTTTTTAATGGAACTATTCTAGCGTGTATGCTTTAGACTTCACATGTTTTAGTACTTTCCAACTTAAGACATTCATTTATTTCTAGAATTAGAGCTGGGTGTGTGTGTAAGGAGAACAAATACCAGCCAGATTGTCTGCGTGAGTTCTGTCACTTTGTTGTTCTCAAGACAAAAATTCAGAGGCAACATCTTGCATCTTTCTTTTTATTTTTTTTTAAGAAGTTTTTGCTGTAGGGCATTTATGCTTGCCAGAGAGAGAGAAAGAGAGAGAGAGACAGAGACAGTGAGAGGGAAAGTGAGAAATCCCCCCGTGGGGAATGGCCATGCTACAGTCCTTTGTCCTTCATTCTTCTCCCAGGATCCTGGGCACTCACACACATGCACCTAGCGTGATTTTCAAGCTGCCAGGTCTAGGACTTGAACCACGGTTGGCCATGTAGGAGTCCAACAACATACCTGCTACTAGCACCAGTCTTACATCTTTCTAATACTTTATTTGAGCCATAAAACATAGCAGTATTTGGTATGTTTAGAAATGAATGTCAGTGCTATTAAAAATAGCATATTATTTGAGGATATTGGTTGAAATAATCAAAATTAAGATACTACTTGCAAATGGCAAAGTTTTCAAACCTTCAAAAATGTCTGAGAATGGGAACAAATCAAACCAAAATTACAGAGCGTTTTAAGAAATGCACTGCAGCTTTCCCACCAAACTCTGCCCGGCGTCCCATAGTTGGTAGCGAGCTTGGAGCTGGTTCCTGCTGCTGTCATGGTTCATCCGCTAGACTGCATCGTCGCTATGTCCCAGAAATGGGCATCGGCAAGAACGGGGACCTGCCCTGGCCTCCACTCAGGAATGAATTTAAGTATTTCCAGAGAACGACCACTACCTCTTCAGTAGAAGGTAAACAAAATACCGTGATTATGGGTAGGAAGACCTGGTTTTCCATTCCTGAAAAGAATCGGCCTTTAAAGGATAGAATTAATTTAGTTCTCAGTAGAGAACTCAAGGAACCTCCACGAGGAGCTCATTTTCTTGCCAAAAGTCTGGATGATGCCCTAAAACTTATTGAGCAGCCTGAATTAGCTAATCAAGTGGACATGGTTTGGATAGCAGGAGGTGGTTCTGTTTATAAGGAAGCCATGAACCAGCCAGGCCATCTTAAACCGTTCGTGACAAGGATCATGCAGGATTTTGAAAATGATACCTTTTTTTCCAGAAATTGATTTGGAGAAATATAAACTTCTCCCAGGATACCCAGGTGTTCTTTCTGATGTCCAGGAGGAGAAAGGCATTAAGTATAAGTTTGAAGTGTATGAAGAGAATAATTATTGTGAATGTGTTTTCAAGCTGTTCCCCCAACCTGTGAAAAAGTGTATGTTTTTATATAAGAAAAAAAAGGCTTTTTTTGACTTCAGATCTAGGGATAATAATTTCTAAGCAGTATGCTTTTATTCCCATTAGTGTTAAATAGACTACATCAGATACCACTTGTGCCATAACTGTCACAGCTTCTTGCCATAGCTGTCTTGGTGCTTCTCCCCCAAAGCTGAGTCCACGGCACCTGCTTAGGGTAGCATGTGTGTGAGGCAGCCCACAGAGGAGAGTCCCTGGGTAGCATGGGTCGATATGACTCCACGGACTCATAGAGAGAGAAGATAGATGTTAGGTATGGAGCAGAAAAACAGAAAAGCTGGAACTCAGATTTGAAAAGAAAATTAGATCAAAGGAGAAACTGTGAATATTCTGTGTCCATCACATTCTACGTAAAGTTCTGCTCGCTGAATCTTACAGAAACGTAGAAGATGGCAGCAGGTGCCTACAGGGGCTGAAAGACTCACTACAGGCAGACCAGCTTGAAACCTGAAAGTCCAGTCCTTTCTTGAATTTATTTTAAAAGGAAGTTGTAAATACGTCCAGGGATAAATGTAGCTTTTTCTAAAAATGGTCATTATTTGTGAAATTTGTGTGTGTGGGACTGGCAAGTGGCATGGTGATTAAGGGTGCTGGATTCCCACATGGCTGACCGTGGTTTGAGTCCCAGACCTGACTACTTGCTTTCTCACTTTCTCCCTCGCTCTATCCCTCTCTGGTCAAATTTAATAAGTAAATAAATAAATAAAGTTAAATAATTCTTTTTTTTAAAAAAAGAAATGCAGTGCAGTGAAAAATTGATGCACTAATGAAAATGAACCGTGAATGAATGAAATTGTTCCTTTTGTTTTATTCTAATGAAGCAGAAAATACCATGTTTAAAAGATAAGAGGGTTGTAATTTAAGAGTAAAGTTGCTGCTTTAAATAAAAGATGAGAATCAAAGTATAAGAGTACATATTTTAAAAATGAACAGTTGAAGAGGGGCATTAAATAGAAAAGCAAAAGAACTTCCCCTTTGTTTCCCCTGGTCCTCATCTTTTAAAGCAACTAATTTTTTTTTTTTTTTTGAGAGATTTTCACTATAGGGCGCGTGCGCTCGCCAGACAAAGACAGAGAGACAGAAAGCGAGAAATCACCCCCCAGGGGGGATGGTCACACCACAATCCCTTCTCCTCCATTCTCCTCTTGGGATCTTGGGCACGCATGCACACGCACTCAGTGTGAGTTTTAAGCCACCAGGTCCAGGACGCGAACCGCGGTCGACTATGTGGGAGTCCAGCGACATAGCCATTAACGCTAACTGCTGGTTCCCAAAGCAACTAATTTTTTAACCATTTTTGTTTTTAGCTCTTTTCATATTCTATGCTTGGGCCAGTATTTCTAAATTTTCTTTTCTTTTCTTTTCTTTCTTTCTTTCTTTGCTAGAGAATGTGTTCATGAGAGAGAGAGAGAAACGGAGAGAGAGAGAGAAGAGACAGCAACCCACCCCACCTCCTGTAGGGGATGGGTATGCCACAACCCCTTCTCCATCTCTCCCTGCTTTTGGGATTTGAGGCACACACATGCGCATGTGTGTTTCTCAAGCTGCTGGATTCAGAACTCAGACTACACCATCAGCCATGTGGGATCTGGCTGTCTTGACCACCAGGTCACAGAGCTGGCACTAGATTTTTTTTTTTTTTAAAAGGAGACAGAGAGAGAGAGAAAAAAAAGACAGGGTCTTGCCATTGCCCTCTTCCTGCCCCAGCCTCTCAGTGAGCTAGGATTAGAGGCATGTGCCATGCTGCAGCCTGTTCAGGTTGGTCCAGATCTAAATCCAGGCCTCACATGTGGCCCCAACCTCGCGCACCAGTGCCCTACCACTGCTGGCACCGTGGCTGGGCCTCTGTCTAGATTTGAACAGTGCCCATTGGTTTCTTGCTATGAAAAATGGGATCTTAGTTCATGTAGATGTCTATGCCTTTTCTATCTTCTCCCTCCTTTTTTTTTAAAATTGTAGTGTGACTTTTAATTTATTTACTGTTATTTTAAAGCACTGTATGATATACTTAAACTTCTATTTTTTTGGATCGCCTGCTTTATTGCTCTTCATCTTGCCTCCCAACTTCTTCCGCAATTTGTCATCTGTACCATTGCTTCACACTGTGACAGTTTAAAGCATTTTGTAACCTTGGTAAGCCGCAAAATCTTCTATGTTTTGGCTGTAGATTGATTCTGAACATTGAAAAAGAGTAAAAAATATTTATATGGCTATAATTTTTCAAATACCTTGGGAAATTTTTTGACTGTCTTGCTCTGTAAATTGAAATGGCTATTTCTGGGCTTTTACATTTTTAGGTTTTTTTCCATGGTGTGCATGTGCTCTCCAGACAGAGAGAGACAGAGAGAAGGAAAGTGAGAAATCACCCCCTGGGGGATGGCCATGCCACAGCGTCTTCTCTTTCATTTTTCTCTCAGGATTTTGGGCATACACACACATATGCCCTGTGTAAGTTTCAAGCCCCTGGTCCAGTACTCAAATTGTGATAGGCCATGTGGGAGTCCAGTGCTTAACCACCACACACCTCCTGGCCCCTTGAACCATTTTTAATTTAATATTTTTGCTGCTATATGTGTTGTTGCTCTGTAAATACACTCATTATTGTCAGATGAGACATAGTTGTTATTATTATTTAGACAAACATTTATACCATAGCACATCCTGCAAAGGCCCAGGGACATGAGCTATTTTAGGGTTTGGTTTGAAGTTTACTGGGTACAATTGAGCTGTTGCAATGGGCTGTTGGTGGGGAAGGTTTGAGTTGGTTGATTTTGGCCTGACTTGTCATTTTATCGAGAGACATCTGAAAATATTTGGAAAACTGGAATGATCCTCCTTTATCTAACCTCTAACCTGACTTTTCCTCCTATTTCTGTTTTTGAGATTCTGTGTTCCCCAGGAAACTCCAGACACTCTGAAGTTTGAGACACACTTTGTCCTAAGAGGGAGCCATTGACTTAAAATGCTCAATACTGTCTCCCTGTTTTCCTGAGTCCCTTATGGTTCTTTTGCCTGAGTCATTAATCTGGGCCTGAAGACGATCCCATCGTGATGAATGTTGTATGCCATTTTCTTTGTCCTTTTCGTGTACAAAGCTCTTTATGTCCATTCTTCCATCTGACACATACACACATGTCATGTAGACAAGACAAGCATTTCATTATTCCAGCATGTACGGAAATGAAACGAGTGGTGTAATGGTTGTGGCACTGGACTCTCACATGGCTGACCATGGTTTGAGTCCTGGACCCGGTGGCTTGAAACTCAAGCCGGGGTTGTGTGTGTACGTGCCCAAAATCCCAAGAGGAGAATGGAGGAGACAGGATTGTGGTGTGGCCAACCTCCCTGGAGAATGATTTCTCACTTTCTCGCTCTTGTTCTCTCTTTGAGTCTCTGGCAAACATGTGCACCCTATAGCAAAAATCTCTCTTAAGAAAAAAATAAAAGAAAAAGAAATGAGGCTCATAGAGACCCCAAAGTCATGTGCATATACAACCTCTACCAGTCATTTTCTCTCCAACCTTGCAGAGTCCCTAGGCTGTCAGGTATGGATTTAGAGCCCTTTCCCTGGCTGCTAACTTTCTCCATAATTTTCTTTTTTATACCCTACAGAGGGTTGCAGGTTTTCTGAGGTTCCAAAGAGTAAAGGACAGGGCAAAGACCTTACCTTGGTTCTCAAATCCTGCATGAGGTTGAAGTAATGAGTTCAGAAAAAATATAGGAGGGTTCTGTGCTGTCACTTAGGGTCTGTGTATATAAGGCGTGTGTGTGAATACACTCCAACTGAAAATAAGCTGTAGCTATGCCGTTGTTTTTAAAGGCTATGCTTTGGGACTGTAGTGTTTATCCCAGCAGGCTTTGGAGTAGCTCCTAGTTTGTGCAATTGATTGCAAAACATTTGACCTTCCTTATCAGCCCCTGGACTCCAGCAGCTAGCATCAGTGTTGAGTTCCTCAGGATACAACGAAGTAAAGTGAATGGTTTCTTTTGGGTCTTCTATCCTGTCTTAATTTCCAGGGGAGAAGTAGCTGTATTGCTAACAGTTGCTCTTTGGAATGGTTAAATATGGATCAGCTGGATTCTGAATGGAGGCTTTGCTCTAAGACATGTGCTGAACTGCCTGTAAACAAGAAACCCAGAGTGACACTGGTTTTGCTTTCCTGTAACTGCTGTGTCAACTGTGTTCCCAAACTCGTACTAAAGAAATATTTACATGTCTTGGCTTTTATTTTTTTCTGATGTCAGAGTTTGCATTCCTATAATTTTGGTGAAAAGAAGAATGTGGTAACATTTCAGAGGTGAGCTGGGCCATACAAAAATTCTACACAGCTTCAAAGAGCAGAAATTAAAAAATTTACATGAAGGTGGTCCTTTGACCTTTCTTAGCCAGATTGGCAGGGAGCTTATTATTTAAATTAGACTTCTATGGCTCCATGAATTTTGCTCTTGTGCATCATGATAGAATGTGCTGCATTTTGCATCTCTGGTTTTTTGTTTTCCTCACATATCATATACATAGTGATATTAAGGGATAGCCCTACTGATATTGTGTTAAAATGTCCCAAACTACTAAGCCAATGTTAAGTCTCATGGTTTTACTCTAGTCTTCTCTGCCAGGATGATCAACTCAGGGATTCTATTTTCCCTTTTATGTGTTCATGACTTCTTTTTTTAAAAAATACATATGAAATTCTTGTACTTTTGTTTCAGGCCCAATGTCTGTGGATCACGTTATAATGCTTACTGTTGTCCTGGATGGAAAACTTTACCTGGTGGAAACCAGTGCATTGTCCGTAAGTAAATAATCAACTGAGCATTTTGCATGTTCATCTTTCTTTGGGTTGGTTGCATGGTGATCCTTTAGGATTTGGTCCTTCGTAAATATCATACCATTACTGTGTTTATAGCAGAGTCTTACAGCACAATGAGTTTTCTGAATCCAAACTGGGAAATGCATTAACTTAGTCGAACCACCATCTAACTCTAATTCAGGTACTTCCTTTAGAATGTTTGTGAGATGTGGGGAATGAAGCCACGGAGATACTTTAGTCAATGTTCTGTGTCACGTACGTCTGTTGTGTCTGGCTACACAGACTACATAATCACTGTGATGGAATTTGGAGGAAAAAAGAAAAGAAAGTGTAATTGTTGATTTCCTTATTATCAGATTGTGAGTTCTAACATCATTGGCCATCTACAGGCCTACCCAAACCCTGTATGTTAAATTTGAGTGGTTGAGGCCAAAGGCAGGCCTGACATTTAGAAAAAGGGGAAAAAGGAGGTGACAGAACACTAGATGATCAGCAGAAAGACTAAGAAAGCACTCACAAAATAACAGAACTTCTATTGGTTTCTGCTGCTGTGGCAAGATTCCAGATTCTCATAATGTCCCACAGATGTGGAGTGACAAATCGCATGCCAGACAAGGTACTGTTTAATGGAGACACCGTGTCAAATTAGTCATGGAGACTGCCCTCCTACAGTCACGATTCCTATAAAATAACTTGCAATTTTCAGAAAACCCCGTTAGTATAGTGGGGGCATTTTTAAGTGAAAGGACATTAAGGAATCATTTAGTCTTTCTTCTTACTTGGCCAAGAGTGGTCTACAGAGAAGAAGAGAATACTTTAGCCATGTTTTTGCTTGGTGACCTACAGAAGTTAGTCTCTTTCCCAGTTCTTGATTTTGACCAGAAAGCATTTTGTTCATTTGGCATGCTGTGGTTTAAGATCAAAACTGAAAACTAAGAGGGAAATATAATGGTATCTGAAGTTTCCTAAAGATGCTTGACAACAGAACCCTTTCCCAATGTTTTGTGGAATTCTTCAGGAAAATACTGTCTTCAGATATTCAAGTAAATGTTTATAGAATCCATTGGCAATTTATTTCACAGTAGTTTCTAGTTTCCATCCTAAGCTCTTTTGATGTCTTAATGCACTTTCTACCCAATGTATTATTTTATTTTTTAAAATAATTATTTTATTTAACTTTATTTATTTATTTTAACTTGACCAGAGAGGGAGAGAGAGAGAGTGAGTGAGCCGCCAGGTCTGGTACTCGAACCACAGTCAGCCTTGTGGGAATCCAGTGCCCTTAACCACCATGCTACCTGCTACCCCCCAGTGTATTATTTAACATTGCATATTAGGTGTACAGGAGTTTGAGGAAAGATCACGCCTGTGAGTGTAACAAGTAGTGACCAAATCTTAGTCTACTGGTACATGTACGTAATTTGTCACTAAACTTACTCTTTTGGCCACTGACAGAGCATTTGGTACCATCATATTAGTCTCTTGGTGACATGAATATGTTCATATTTTTCTGAAGGACAGATGGCTTCCTGATTGTTGGAAACTATACTATGACAGTAGATTCCAGCATTCTCCTCTCAGACTTTCAATGTGATTCAAATCAGGGTAAAAACTAAACATTAAACATTTATAATAAAATTGGTTCCCAAGAAGACTGATACAATTTTCATATCATTACATTTTAAAGTTCTTAATAAAAAACTCAAAATTTCGTAAGCATATAAATATGTTTAGATGCAGGATTTGTACCTGTTGGTTTCATTTTTTATCATTTTTATTACTGCTCTAGGCTTTTGCTAGGTTGAATACTAAGGGATAAGCAAAGAGGCATTGAAAACCACTGATATGGTTAAAGCAGTTACCCACTTTAAGGCCACAGGTTATGTAGTCCAACTTTAGCAGTCCCCAACCCACCTGGAATCAGTGACCAGCCTCATGGAAGACAGTCCCTCCTCAGATGGAGGGAGTGGGTCCTGGGATGACCTAAGCACACCACATCCATCCCAATTCACACTGCAATGTTCAACAAAACAATCAGATAACAAGGTTCACGCTTCTGTGAGAATCCAGTACCATTTTCTTATCTGACAGGTGGGGGAGCCCACGTGGTAATGCAAGTGATGGGGAGGGCTTACAAACACAGATGAAGCCTCATCACCTGCCCACTGCCCCCTTCCCCCTCCATGCTGTGCAGTAGTGGACAGGTCCAATGGGCCTTAGACAGCAGTGATCCGTGGGCTGGGGCTTGGGCACCCCTGGTCCAACAGCCTTGTTTTATAAATGAATATACCTGAGGCTTAAGGTCATGTAAGTTATGATGGTAAAGGTAACGAGGGATCTGTGAGTCTAGGTGTCCTCATTTGAGGGTTGGACCCTGTAACTATCCATGCTCTGAAGCCATGTGCTAACAGACCTCTGGTTTTATTCACAGCCATTTGCCG